CGTTAAGGCATTTCTCTTATACTGTGTTTTTGTCATTGAGTCTTTGGACTTAAGAACAAGGCTTCCCCCTTGTGCTTATCCTATTTCATTTTGTTCAAGACAATCCATCAACTGACTCAAGTGCCATTTGGATAGTGACAACTATCAAGCCCATCAGACAGAGTCTCCAATTTTATTTCATCACTTGCTAGCTTCTGTTAATTGAAAATTGTATTATTTCATTTTGCCCCTCCTGGCTCTCAGGCACCTGTTACTGAGTTGATTGGTTCATGGTATCCTATTATCATCAATATCTGCCCAGCTGCTCTTTTATGTTGTTGTTGCTGTTGTGTGCATGCTTAGTCACTAAGTTGTGTCTGACTCTTTGTGACCCCATGGACTGTAGTCCACTAGGCTCCTCTGTCTATTGAATTTCCCAGGCAAGAATACTGGAGTGGGTTGTCATTTCCTTCTCCAGGGGATCTTCCCCACCCAGGGGTCGAATCCACGTCTCCTCATTACTACGCAGGTTCTTTACCACTGTGTCACCAGGGAGGCCCATTGTTGCTGTTACTCTCCCTTATACCACATTTCCAATCCCACTTATTCTCCTTAAAGCTTCCCTCTACCATATTGGAACTGCACTGGAAAAAGAAAGAATTAAGGGCTCTACAACCTTTACTTTCCCACTGATTACAATGATGTAGCTCTTCATTTACTCAGATTCATTCATTAATTCAACAAATATTTCTTCAGTGTCTACCCTGTCTCAAACTCTTTTCTGAAAGCTATGATCAGGGCTTCCCTGGTGGTCCAGTGATGAGGACCTGGTGCTTTCACTGCCATGGGCCCAGGTTAGATCCCTGACCAGGGAACCAAGATGCCATGCAACATGACCAAATAAATATAAATAAATAAACAAATAAAAGCTGTGGTCATATTAGACAGAAGTTTCTTTGGGCCTTTTCATAGAATTTTAGTATTTTTCTACAAGTATTTTCTACATTTTTTTAGATCACTTTCTAGCTATTTCAAGTTTTGTTGCTATAATGAAAGGCACAATTTCCATTATTTTTTAATTGACCAGTGCAAATATAAAAGAACTCTGTTGGTGTTTTTGTTGTTGTTACCGTTGGTCTGCTATCCAGCACCTCATTGAACTCATCCATTTGTTTTAATACTCTGCTGGTTGTTTTAAGTTTTCTGTGTCTTTCTTTTTTGTCCTTAACATTTCTTACATCTCTGTCTTGCTTTACTACATTGGTCAATGGCAATTACTTTTGTAAGAATTCACAAGCCACTCTCTTGACAATTTAATACAAATCGATAGTGACTACCAATTTACAGTTTATAAATTAGCTTTTCTTCATTTTCTGGGAAGAAAGTCTATTAAATTTTCTAGAACCCCTTTCTCCTCAGTATCTTTTTTAAAAAAAATCTCAGTCCATATTGTACTGCATACATGAAAGTTGCTAAAAGAATAGATCTTAAAAGTTCTTATCACAAGAAAAAAAATTCTGTAATTATGTATGGTGATGAATGTCAAACAGACTTATTATTGTGATCAATTCACAGTATATACAAATATCAAATCATTATGTTGTAAACCTGAAACATACAATGTTGTGTACCAATCAAACCTCAACAACAAAAAAATCTCAGCCCAGATTTTGTACACATTCCCTGAGACTATTTTATCTGCCTAATGTCATGTTTCAATTTGTCTTTTAAGAGATTCAGGTAAAGACTCTATAATAGCAGCTATAAACATAGGTTAAATATATTTAATTCATGTCTAGCATAGATGTATTCCTATCACATATTATCCTCAGAGTTGGCCCCTCCAAAAGTGATGAGTGGAAAAAGAATGGAATGCATCATAAGGACTATAGCGTGCATGCATGCCCAGTCGCTAAGTCATGTCTGACTCTTTGCGACTCTATGGACGGTATCCCACCAGGTTCCTCTGCCCATGGGATTCTCCAGGCAAGAATACTGGAGTGGGTTGACATTTCTTCCTCCAGGGAATCTTTCTGACCCATGATTGAACCCATGTCTCCTGCATCTCCTGCGTTGGCAGGAGGATTCTTTACCATTGAGTCACCTGGGTAATAACAAATTTTAATAAGACACCAAATATTATAATAAAAGGGCTCTGAAGCTGAAGTTAATTTAGTATGTCATGTTTAGTTCAGAGTAAAATCAGTAGTTAGTGCCTGATTTGTACATACTGTGTGAAGAAAGAGATAACTTCTCTGTATGATCATTTTGTTATTTTTCAAAAGCACTAAATTTTTGTTCAGTTGAAAATACTTCCAGAATAAACCTATCTGGCCATTTCATGGACATGACACATTCGTTTGTGAATCAATTATTGTAAATGAGATTAAATTATTATGCTTCTTTTCATTATGCAAATTCTCTGTATCATCATACTTTTTGGTTTGGGGGTGCTGTATTTCAGTGTCTGGTTATATTGACACTAAAACAAATAGTTGGCATATATTTGGAGTGGACTATAACTCAGAATAAAATTTAAGTGGTTTGTTTAAGTGTTGTGAAGTCAGGAAAATTGTTGAGATAGTAAACACATAAAAACAGACTTACTCAACTAATACATGTTACTATCCATTGCTTGGGTAAAGAAATTTACTAAGAAATATATTTTATATATATATATATATATATATATATATATATACAGAGAGAGAGAGAGAGAGATGAAAGAAAATATTTGAGCAGAGTTTAAGGTAACAATTACAGAAAAGCTGCCACATTAACAGGAATCAATAAACTGATCAGCTTTTTTCTCCCTATTTTCTGCCAGAGAGACTATTATAAGCAAAATGACAGAAATGGAGAAGGGGAGAAATGCATACACTACATGTAAAGTATATTCTCCAGGATTATATTTCATTTTTTAAGTGATGATATTGTACTTTTTCATCTTTACAAGTTTGAATCACCTCCTCTAATAAAGTTTATTTACCATTTGCAATGACCACTTCCACACTCAGTCAAAAATAATAATAATTACATCAAGAAAACAGCAGTGATACTCCTGATTTTAGTGTTTGCTTTCCAAGAGATGTAAACCATTAAATTAATTTTTTTTCCTGCCATCATCAATTTAGTTAATAATTTGGATCATTCAACATCTCCATTAAAAAACCATAATGTGACTATAAAAAGGATAAGAAAAACTCATACTAAAAGGAGAGGCAAGCAGCAGATAAGAACAGAGCTAGTTAAAAGCACTAAAAGCAGAAATATTTACAGATCATTCATCTTCAGCTTTTTCTAGAGCAACAAATCCAAACAGTGCTATGCCTTCTGTTGCTTTCTTTCACTTTACAGACGCTGAAAACTTTCAAGTTTCTATCTCCTAGAAGTGGGATAGGAAAAAAAAGCTGGTTATTATTCCTAAAGCCATTGAAATTGCATTTGTGGCATCAAAATGGATTTTTTTTTAAGCAGGATGTTGGATTGACAGTAAAGCAGCTGCTCTGCAGCAAACGAAAGCAAAAATTAATAAGAGACCTTAGCAAAAGAAAGACTATTGGTTTTGCACACCCAGAGCAAATTGGCTGGATTTAGAAGAGCACACTTTGATCTTTTCCAGACTAATTACTGCTCTGTGGTTTGACTGTTTGTGCATTAGTTGCCCTTCATACAAAACCGAAACTGCTGTGGTACACAGCTGTAATACAAATGAAAATTTGACATTCAGTAAACAAAGCGTTGCAAGGGTCATTCTTTTAGCACAATAACTGCATAATACAATTTTAGAATGCCTTTTGTATACAAAAAATTACACATTTTAAGGCAGTTTTGAACTCAGAGTAGGCAGTCAAGGCTGTTTGTAAAGGATAGAGAAATTGCTCCCAACTCTAATCTATAAATACAGATTGAAAACAGTTTATTTCAACATTGTAGAAATGCTGAGGAATTTACATATTTACAGAAATAAATGTGTCTGTTTTTAGAAGATGGTTTTTCATTTGTCTATAAGGTTAATTGGGAGCAGATTTCTTAAGTAGCTGTTTGCAGTGGCAATAATGGTGTTGATTCACCAATTTGATTCTAGATTTGCTTCTGGGAAAGAATTCAGATTATTTTATGTGTAGACTCTATATTAAAGTATTTAATGCTTTCTTTATATGTTTCAGAAAATATAATGAATTAACATTTTCTTTTTTTTATTTTATTTTATTTTTTATTTATTTTTATTAGTTGGAGGCTAATTACTTCACAATATTGTAGTGGTTTTTGTCATACATTGACATGAATTAACATTTTCAACAACTACCAAAATTGAAGAACTTTCCATTTTTCGTTATTTAAACATCACCATAATTATTAAAGCATAAATCTCTATCTGCATAAGAAATACATTTAACTTACACCTGAGTTTCCCTTCTAAAGGGCATGACTTTATGTAGTTTGTATTTTTAATGTATTCTGACAGTCACTCTAACAGGCTGTACAATAACTTATCATCATATTCCCAAAAAATAGATCAAATATATGGAAAGGTTTTTATAATACCTGACTCAGTTTGTATTTAAACCAAATTAACCTTTGGAGCTAGCTATACAAATGTTACCTAGTTTTTTTCCAACACACGTTTTTATGCGACTTTGAGAATATCTATACTTAAAGTCACACAATTTACAATAATCCCATTGTTTAGTGCTGAAATATTTGAAATAAAGAGAAATATTTGATTAAAGAATTGACCTATCAAAAAACATTGCTTTTTGCTTTGTTTATGCTTTGTTTCAAATGTTTCAAATATTTGAAAAGAGGTGATTTAAAGAAGAAGAATGATATAGTTTACTCAATTAACTGTTCATTAGAAACTGAAAAAAATACTTATCCAGGATTGATTAATAACCAATAACCATAACCAAGACAGTATACCATGAGTGTTGAAAATACTGAATTCTAAAAAAAAAAAAAAAAAGAAAAGAAAATACTGAATTCTTCCATTCAACCATGTAAAAATACCACACATTAGATGTTGGACAAATTTTATTTCAGTCATTATTTCTTTAATTGCTATATGATTTATATAAATTTTATGACCTTCAGAGCCTCCCCTTTTTGCTTTCAAAAGTTAGCTGGATACATTCTTTATAGACACACAAAGCTGTTTTATAAATGCCTGTTTCTGTCTGGCTCATTTACCTTTACCTCACAGAACAGCTATCTTGGGTGGGGGGTGGGGGTAGTTACCTATTCACAGCAAGACTTGAGAATTCAGGACAATAGATTTTCACAATATGTTTAGGAGAGGCCCAAAGCTCCAGTGCTAAGCGCCATGTGGAAAGGTAGATAAATACATAGAGACAGAACCATAGACTTTAGCCAAGTGGCTTGAAGAATAACAGAGAATCTATAATGCTTTCTACTTCAGCGGCAATCAAACTCAACCTCTGCAAATTAATCAGCCTGCAAAACACCAAGAATGGAGAAAAGAGGATATTGATTCTTGGAGAAGTCACCTATATTTTATTTTCCCATTAAACATAATCACAGAATGCTATTCTAAAATGTGAACATTTTCTCCCCTGAAGTATAAAACAGACCAGTTCCTTTTTGATAATATTTCAAAGATTATCTCAGAATGACTCCATGAAACACTTTGGTTTTAATTTTTATCATGGGAGAAAATTATTAAGTATACCCATAAAAGCATTATTTGCCATGCGCTTTTTTCAAGGGTGTTAGTGTCCTGGGGTTATAGCAATTTACTGATGACACTGTTCAATGTGCTTTCTTTCCTATGACCACTGACTCCTTAATGTCCCTTTCCATTTACTTTTATCCTCCCTTGTGCCTTCAGGTTTGGAAACTATCTGCAAAGAAACAAGAAATTTAAAATTAGTTTTATTTTTTCCTTTCCAAAATAAGTTTCCTGGTTAAACACCCAAATGAAAAGACCCCCTTCTGACTTACATTAACTCATAAATCTAAAGCAAATATGTCCATTGGGTTAAAATTTTTTACAATAAAACTTGTAATTCTGAAAAACGGAAGTTGGGTTTTACTTAGCAGTGGAAGCTGTTTTTTCATGTCTCCATAATTATCCTGTAAAACAATAAATAATTCTTTCATGTGCTAAACAATCAATTACAGCTTTGTGATTGAAAGACTTTTTGAACACCCACCCCCCACAATAGTTAATGTCCCAAGTTTGTGCTTTGGGAGTTATTAGAGTCACAAACACTGTTTTAAATTTAAAAAACACCTAATTAAATGGAAGTCATTCATAAATAGCAACAAGCGTAAATCAGAATGAAATAATAAGGTCTCCATGTCTGTCCTCTTTTCCCATAAGACTCTTAGAACATTTTGTCCCCAGGAAAAAACCAAAATTTGTCAGTTAGCTAGACATGTTTGTTGAGTAAACTGACCACCACTGTCACTAGCGTGTTTGGGTGTAAAAGAATTGCAGCAACAGTCATCCACCGCTAGAAATACTCCCTAAAGCAAGGTGTCTGCCAGATCATTCCGAGCCCAGGTCATACTGGTCATGCCACTCTGCTTCCTTCTGGCAAGAACTTAACTCTATCCAGATCAAGAGAAGAAAAAAACTCTCAACCTTTGGGTGAAATGTGTTTGCAAGATCTCTCATTAAAAAAAATTCTCTTCATTTTCTTAAGGTTGGAGGTTACAGGGTAGTTTTAAAATGGACTTAACACTTGCTGATTACTGAGAAGATTAAAGGCAGAAATGGCCAAGACTGGATGGCAGGGTCGCTACCAAAGGCTTCACACCACCACTCTCTTTTAGCCTGCTTTTCACTCCTGTGTATTCAGATGCTCCTCAACTAGATTTGAAAATTTCAGGATTTATCAAGAGCCAGACGAGAAGATAACAACATATTTCGAACATTTCATCATCAAATGAAGGTGGTTATAGAGCTGATTGGCCTTTCACCTTAGGGAAATTATTTCACATTTCTCTTCCTCATTTATAAAGTGGGGTAATAGACAGTTTGTGGAATAAAGCCTCACAAGGGCAAATGAATGAAATTGTACCTTTAAATGGCTTAAAGTCAGGAACAATTTGAGTAAAAAATATTACTTTTCATACATTGTGATCTTACATCAAAGCAAGGGGAATATGCTGCTTTTTCATTTGAACAAATCCAGTAGCAATCATGCTTATTAAATGCTTGTACATAGCATCTGTGATAAAAGCTGTATTGTCATCCAGGAGCTAATTATCTCAAATGAGAGACCTTATATGAAAGTAATGCATAAAGTATAAAAATACAAAATACTACACTTGTAATAATAATAGTAATAGTATTAAGTGTTTGTGTGTGTGTGTGCTAAGTCATGTCCGACTATGCGACCACATGGACTATAACCCGAGAGGCTGCTCTGTCCACGGAATTTCCCAGGCAAGAATACTAGAGTGGGTTGTCATTTCTTCCTCTAGGGGATTAAGTACTTATCCTGTACCAAACAGTATATTCTACAACAGTTTATTTAACCGTCACAGCAACCTTGGGAGATAAATGCGTTTGTGTGTGTGTTAGTCACCCAGTCGTGTCGGACTCTCTGCCACCCCATGGACTGGGGCCCACCACGTTCCTCTGTCCATGGGATTTCCCAGGCAAAAATACTGGAGTGGGTTGCCATTTCCTTCTCCAGGGGATCTTCCGGACCTAAGGATCGAACCCAGGTCTCCCTCATTGCAGCCAGATTCTTTACCATCTGAGCCACACCTTAGAGCTGAAATGTTTTTATCACCATTTTTAAATTTGTACACCTAAGACCAAAGGACCCTGAGTCACTTAGCCGTTTCACACAGCTAGAAGGAGAAACTAGGGAAGAAGCCAAGGCCTGTCTGATTTCCAAACCCCAGCACATGGAACACCCCGCACTATGAACAGGATGGCTCTGGCAAGGATGTTTACCTTTTTGCTATATGAGATGGCAACATGGTGGTTTTGTCATGATTGACAACTTATACCTTTGGAAATGCAGATTGTTACGAGTTAAGAAGTTGAAATGTGGCACGTTTTGTTCATAAAAGGTTTTTTTCTAAATTACTCTTCTACTGCAGCATTTACCTTTAGAGGAAAGGAAGTAAACAATGGATCCCAGGAGAAATTACCTTTGTTCTTATTTTGTTGTTCGTATGGGCACAATAAGTGCTAGAAACACTAACCAATTACATCATTACTTGTTAACTGTCACATTTTTAAGTGTTTAGTGCCAACTTTTAAGGCACCAGAAAATATTGCTGACAGTGGCACTGTAATCCCATCATTGTGTATGCAAATAAACATATAATTGCCAATTCTGCATATGGAATTTCTAACCTGGAAACTTCCTGGTATGAAAATAACTGCTCCAATAGTAATTCACTAAGTCATCTGAGTCAAGAATTTATAGTTAGGTATAGTTCAGTTGCTCAGTCATGTCCAACTCTTTGCAACCCCATGGACTGCAGCATGCCAGGCTTCCCTGTTCATCACCAACTCCTGGAACCTACTCAAACCCATGTCCATTGAGACGATGATGCCATCCAACCATCTCATCCTCTATCATCCCCTTCTCCTCCCACCTTCAAACTTTCCCAGCATCAGGGTCTTTTCAAATGAGTCAGTTCTTTGCATCAGGTGGCCAAAGTATTGGAGTTTCAGCTTCAACATCAGTCCTTCCAATGAGTATTCAGGATTGATTCCTTTTAGGATGGACTAGTTGGATCTCCTTGCAGTCCAAGGGACTCTCAAGAGTCTTATCCAACATCACAGTTCAAAAGCATCAATTCTTCGGCACTCAGTTTTCTTTATAGTACAACTCTCACATCCATACATGACTACTGGAAAAACCATAGTTTTGACTAGACGGACATTTGTTGGCAAAGTAATGTCTCTGCTTTTTAATATGCTGTCTAGGTTGGTCATAACTTTTCTTCCAAGGAGCAAGTGTCTTTTAATTTCATGGCTACAGTCACCATCTGCAGTGATTTTGGAGTCCAAAAAAATAGTCTGTCACTGTTTCCATTGTTTCCCCATCTATTTGCCATGAAGTGATGGGACCAGATGCCATGATTTTAGCTTTCTGAATGTTGAGTTTTAAGCCAACTTTTGTACTCTCGTCTTTCACTTTCATCAAGAGGCTCTTTAGTTCTTCTTCACTTTCTGCCATAAGGGTGGTGTCATCTGCATATCTGAGGTTATTGATATTTGTCCCGGCAAACTTGATTCCAGCTTGTGCTTCATCCAGTCCAGCATTTCTCATGATGTACTCTGCATATAAGTTAAATAAGCAGGGTGACAAAATACAGCCTTGATGTACTCCTTTTCCGATTTGGAACCAGTCTGCTGTTCCATGTCCAGTTCTAACTGTTGCTTCTTGACCTGCATACAGATTTTTCAGGAGGCAGGTCAGGTGGTCTGGTATTCTCATCTCTTTAAGAATTTTCCACTGTTTGTTGTGATCCACAGTCAAATGCTTTGGCATAGTCAATAAAGCAGAAATAGATGTTTTTCTGGAACTCTCTTGCTTTTTCAATGATGCAACGGATGTTGGCAATTTGATCTCAGGTTCCTCTGCCTTTTCAAACTCCAGCTTGAACATCTGGAAGTTCACGGTTCACGTACTGTTGAAGCCTGGCTTGGAGAATTATGAGTCAAGAATTTAAAAGAATCTTACTTTTCAAATATACATTCTATCATTTTGACTATGATAACAACAAACTGTATTCTTTACAACAGAAGAAACTGACAAAGAAAAGCTATAATAGATGGTGAAACAAAGTGCTTTAGTTTCTTCTAAAAGTAAAGTACATCTTAAACTGGTCCAGCCACTTAAGGCTACTTCTAACTTTTAAAATATTTTATAAGAAAAAAATCAATTCCAAACACTCATTCACCACAATTTATACTTCAGACTATTGTAATTAATTTTGGAACATGGTATACAAAAGAAAAGAGGACTAAAAGTTCATCTACAGTAATATAAATCTTGCTAAAATAGTGAAGGGATGATAATTGGAAGTTTCATTATGATGCAGAGGAAATATCTCCTAAAATCAAATATTTTCCTTATTCTACCATTATAGATCTGTGAAAAGCTTGGAGAAACATTAGGAGCTATGTTTTGAAGAAACTTAGTGTGAACTTTGCTAACAATGATCCAAATAAGTTTTTTGATTACTCTTTCAAGAAATTGCAGTATTTCATGCAAAATGGTATCACTTTCCCTCTAAGGTAATTTTTTTTACTCATCATGAAATAAAAATCTATATTTTGCTTTTCCTTGAATGTCTCTTTAAAACCTCAAACCAGAAGAATGAGTCACATTTTAAACCATTTTCTTTTTTAATCTTCTTCACTCTGCTGTTTCTAAAGGGATATTTAGTTTTAACTAGGTTGCAATTTCATTTGAAAAGAACTGAACAGGGTTTCTAGAAGGTTTTAAAGATTACCCACTGACAGTATTTTTAGCTGCTGCTGTTGCTGTTAAGTTGCTTCAGTCGTGTCCGATTCTGTGCGACCCCATAGACGGCAGCCCACCAGGCTCCTCCGTCCCTGGGATTCTCCAGGCAGGAATACTGGAGTGGGTTGCCATTCCTTTCTCCAATACATGCATGAATGCTAAGTCGCTTCAGTAGTGTCCAACTCTGTGCAACCCTATGGACAGCAGCCCACCAGGCTCCTCCATCCACAGGATTCTCTAGGCAAGAATACTGCAGAAGGGGGACGTATTAAACTCCTAATTTTTCAGACACTCAAAGCTAGCTAAGAAAAGCCAAAGGTAAATAAATATAAGAAATAATAATAACAAATTATAAATAATTAAGAAAAAAGTTTTCTTTTTTTTTATTGTATCTATATGAGATGACAGGTGCTAATTAAACTTATTTAGTAATCATTTCACAATGTGTAAGTCAACCATTAAAAAATTCATTCTTTTCCTTTGTCCAAGTACTGTGTTATTTTAGAAAAAATTATTTAGTTAATGGGGCTTCCCAGGTGGTGCAGTGGTAAATAATCTGCCTGCCAATGCAGGAGACACAAGGGACACAGATTTGATCCCTGGGTCAGAAAGATCCCCTGGAGCAGGAACTGGCAACCTGCTCCAGTATTCTTGCCTGGAAAATCCCATGAACAGAGGAAGCTAGTGGGCTACATGGGGTTGCAAAGACTCAGACATGACTGTGCACACACACTTAGTTAATTCCTTATAACAATCACATGAGGTAAGTAGGCATCCATCTTAAAGATGAAGATAAAGAAGTTTAAAAAGATTAAACAACTTGTCAAAGGTCACAGGCTGACTTTAAGTCTACTAAAATCTTAAATGTAGTCCAGTAACTGCCCCTCATTATTCAACAGCTATGAAAATAATGAGAAGCATAACTTTCTCAAACACACTATAAACTATGGTGACAAAATACAAATTGGGGATTTTTGAATGGAAAACTTAGAAACTGGGATTTCTGGAATATATTAAATATACATTTATTAGCAAATATATAGTAAATACCTTCTATGTTCTAGGCACTGGGTCAGGTGTCTATGATACAATGATGAAAAAGAACATAGTCTTTGCTCTCCAAATAATGCTCCAAGTAAGCATTGTCTAAACAGACAAATATTTAACAGACGATTGCAATACAACGAGAGGTGCTATAATAATTAGAATGCATGTGTGTGTGCTCAGTCATATCCAATTCTTTGTGACACCATAAACTATGGCCTGCCAGGCTCCTCTGTCCATGGAATTTCCCAGGCAAGAATGCTGGAGTTGGTTGCCATTTCCTCCTCCAGGGGATCTTCCTGACACAGGGATGGAACCCACATCTACTACATCTCTTGCATTGGCAGGCAGATTCTGTACCACTGAGCCACCTGGGAAGCCCCAGTGATGAGAATAGCTAATCCTTTTTGAGGACTTATAATGTGCCAGCTATTGTTAATAAGTGCTTTATCTATTTACTCAAGTAACCCTCACAGCAATCTATGAGATAGATACTACAGAGATAAAGAGGTAGGTTTAACATCTGTTGGAACACAGAGAAGAAAATCTTTCACTGTCTAGAGAAGTCAGGAATTTGAGCTGAGTCTATAGGATGTATATCTCAACAAGAGGGAGTGACATATCCATCAGTATAACATAAATTATCCTCCAGGAACCCCAAATCCCCAAGTCTTGGTGGCTTATAACAACAAAGATTTATAGTTGCTCCCAAACCTGTCAGCTTGGCTTGGGGACCCTTCACGTATCCTCAGTCTGGGACCCAGACGGACAGAGTCTCCTTTGTCTGGAGCACCACTAATTACTACA